ATTATTTTTTAAATAAAAGAAAGGATGAATAGTTAGTTGCTCTGACATTTGATCCTCACCTTTCTCAAAGAAGTTTGTAAATGTAACCAATCAGACATTTTCTAAACCTTAGATCTAATGCTCTTGAGTGGTTTACTTTAAATAAATATGCAATTTACTAATGTATTGATAAAACACGGAAGCTAGTCCTGTAACCCTTACGACTGGAAGGACCAGGTGACTTTCAAAGTATAAAGCCCTTCCTGCTTGTCTAGCTGCTCAGTCCTGTCCGACTCTTTGTGACCCCATGGACTGTAGCCCGCCAGGCTCCTCTGTCCATAGAATTCCCCAGGCAAGAACACCGTCGTGGGTTGCCATTTCCTTCTCCAGGGGATCTTCCTGACCTGGGGACTGAACCCGTGTCTCCTGCAGCTCTGGCACTAGGTGGATTCTTCACCACTGAGCCACCAGGGGAGGCATATAACCCTAGAGATCCCCGGACGAAATGTCCCTCCTGAGTCATCCTGCCCTGCTCACGCAGTTAGCAGCCGGCACTCTGGAACTTGATCCTTTTCTGGGGTGAGAAAAGAGATCTCATAATCCCTGCTTGACAGATTTAGAATCTCCCAAATGTCTCTGTTGTGTTTGTGATGGCTTCTCTGTCGTCTTCTTTGCCCGTTTACAGTAAAGTGTGTTTCCTGTAGAATTACTATTTCATGGGACTGTGCTGACCATTCAGCACTGTATGATATTTCTGTTGGAGTTTGACGCCCAGGAGGTTGGTCTGGAAAGAGACATTTCTGGAACTGTCAGCATCTAGCACAACATGGGATGAAATCACATGTGGGGTGAATGAATTGTTGTTGCTGTTTAGTTATTAAATTGTGTCCGATCCTTTGTGACCCCATGGACTGTACCCCACCAGGCTCCTCTGTCCATGGGATTCTCCAGTCAAGGAAACTGGAGTGAATTACCACTTCCTTCTCCAGGGAATCTTCCTGACCGAGGGATTGAACCCACGTCTCTTGCATCTCCTGCACTGGCAGGCAGACTGTTTACCGCTGAGCCTCCAGGAAAGCCCCCGGGTGAAAGGAGGTAAGAAGTAAAAAGAACACATCTAAAAAACAGGACATGCCAACATATAGGGGATTGACAAAGAAANAGTGAAGATAGAGAAATAATTTTTTTTTCCATTGATTTTTATTAGTTGGAGGCTAATTACTTTACAATATTGTAGTGGTTTTTGCCATACATTGACATGAGTCAGCTATGGATTTATATGTATTCCCCATCCTGATCCCCCCTCCCTGGAGAAGACTTTGGTGTCAAGGGAGAATTTTCTCTTTGAAGATGTGGAAACCTGGTGTGGTTGCATACAGAAGGAATAATCTAGTAGAGAACAGAACTAGGTGAGAGAGGGGAGACTTCGTAAAACTATGTCCTCAAGTAGCTCAAGAAAACAGTACCAAGTGTGCAAATGGAATTCCTACATAGCGGTGCAGCCGTCAGTCTGAGGAACAAGACAGAAGGCAGAAAATTCAGCTTCGGGGGGGAACTGTGAGTCAGCATGATGGAAGGACTTTGAAAAGTTTGCTTCTAATTGTTTATGTTTCTAGGCAAAACAGAACACAGGGTCATCATAGGGTCATCAGCTGAATGTTGGTGCTGGAGATCTTTAGAGAGAATGAGGGTGTGAATTGTAAATGGCAGTGAAGGACACAGCATGGAGTTGCTAAGCAACGCAAAGGATCTAACTGTGACCAGTGATCCTGAATTGAGAGTGAAATCACTGTGGCTGCATACTAACGATTTCCTAATTGTGAACAAAGCCTGAATACTGAAAAGTGCAAAGCACATGAACAATATGATAAGTGACTATAAAGTAACTGCCTGGGCAGAATTCTTTTAAAAGACCCCATGCTCCTTTTAGGACTTGTTGCTAAGTTTTCTTCATCTTAATACATACACATCAATCATTTAAAAATGTAGTTTAGGACTCCCCTGGTGGTCCAGTGGTTAAGACTCCGCCTGCCAATGCAGGGGGCATGGGTTCCATCCTTGGTTTGGGAAGATGCTACATGCTGTAGGGCATCTAAGCCCATGCGCCACAACTACCGACCCCACACTCTAGAGCCCGAGAGCTGCAACTACTGAACCTTCACACCTAGAGCCCATGCTCCAGAAAAGAGGAGACCCCGCTCAAGGCAAGTAGAGAAAGCCCATATGAAGCAATGAAGACCCAACCCAGCCAAAAATAAATACATAAATAAACTAATTAAAAAAATTTAAATGTAGTCTAGGTTTGCATGTTTTTGAAATGTTTATTAATTTTAGTACGTGCTTTTTTGTTGTTTTTGTTTGTTTTTTATGAGATCTCAGTTTCCCCAACTGGGGATTAAACCCAGAATCCTAACCATTAGGCCACCAGGGAGCTCCCGGTTTGCATGCTTTTCAAATTTATAAACACGGGATATTATTGTAAGAATCCTTTAAGTCAATAGTACTTTCACTTCACAGTACGTGTAACATACGTGGGCAATGCTCATTTAATTTCATTGTATAGCACTCCATGACATGTGTGCACCGGGAATCCTGTTTCTATGCTACTGTCAAGGTATATCTGAGTTTTTATTATGCTACTGCGAACACGCTTACCTGCTGTTCAATATGCCGCCAGTTCTTTAAGGATACACTCTAGATATATTCTGTACAAAACATTCCCCCAGAACATCTTTCTCTATCTGACTAGGAATCCATCTATGAACACTATCAGCCAGTTTTGGGGAAAATGCATGCATGTTAAGTCTTACAATCCCTGAACAGGGTTTCTCTTTATCTTATTTAAAACCTTTCAGTAAAAATGTAATAATAGTTTCACAATTCTGTTAGGTCTCATTCTAGATACATTTGCTTTAAAAAATAAAATATACAGTGCCCTCCGTTACTCTGGGCCTTCCTCCCAGCAGTCAGTAGGCACAGGCCTGTCGAGGCAGAGCAGAGATGGCGGTGGGAACCACCGAACAATGGGAGATGCGGTTGGATCAACCCCTTCTTGCTCTTTTCTGCCGGCTCACTCGGTGAGCTTGGCTCCCTCTTCCCCAGGGCAGGTTACCTATATTTGCTATTTTTGTTGCTAGTTAAATTGCATGGTTTCATTTTATATTCTGACTAATTGATTCTGCTATAGAAAGCACAATTGATTTTTGAGTTAAATTATATCCAAAATGTTTGTTAATCTTTGTTAATTTAATAACACATAAGTGGTTTTTTTTCTTCTGCTTGAATTCATACACTGGTAATATAATAAACTTTGATTCTTCCTTTCTAATTTTATATCTTTTCCTGCTGATGCCACGGGTGAAAATCTCTGGTGCGGTACTGAGTGGAAGTGATTGTGGGCATGTTACTTTGGGTCTCAGTCTGCAAGCTCACATTCCAGGGTGAGAAGCTCCGTGTATAACTTTTCTGTAGTCACTATCAGATTAAGAGAAGTCTCGGGTGGGAGGGGGAGGGAGATGGGAGGAAGCTTCAAGAGGGCGGGGATGAACATATACCTATGGCTGATTCATGTTGGTTTGGCAGAAACCAACACTATTCTGTAAAGCAATTATCCTTCAATTAAAAATAAATAAATTTAAAATTAAAAAAAGAAAATTCTCTTTTATTCTTTATTTCCTAACTGATTTTTAAATTTTTAGTAAGTTTTGATTTTTTAAAAATCAAGTGCTTTTATTGTCTTTTTAAATGGCTATGTAATTTTCTCATTTAATTTGTAACTATGATAAAGGATTCTTCCAGGCAGTAATGTGGATTTAGGGACAAGAAGAAAGATGACCTTGGTAGCTATGAGAAGAGGGAGTTTTAAAAAATTTTTATTGGAGCGTAGTTGCTTTACAATGGTGTTCATTTCTGCTGTACGGCAAAGTGAATCAGTCATACGTGTACATAGTACGTCTCCTCTTTTACGGATATCCTTTCCATTTAGGCCACCACAGAGCCCTGAATAGCGTTCCCTATGCTATGCAGCAGATTCTCACTAGTTATCTGTTTTATATACTAGTCTATATATGTCGGTCCCAGGCTCCCAATTCATCCCACCTTCCCCTCCCCAACTTTATAACCACAAGTTTGCTTTCTACACCTGTGACTTTATGAGAAGAGTGATTTTTAAGTGTTTAGAATCTGTTTACCGAAATTCCACACTTCTGAAGGAGGTAAAGTTAGGGATAGCCAATGACTGAATTTTTGTCAATGGCATGCAAGCAAAACTTTTGTGACCCATCTCTTGGCGTTCCCCAGTTAAAAAAACATCTCCCACAGGACTCTCCAGGATCTTTCCACTTTGGTTCTCTTGATGTAGGAATAATGGAAGCTCGTGAGCCACATGTCAAAGATAGCAGAGCTGTAAAGGATGGAAGGAGTCTGACTTCCAGAGTCACTGTTCAGGAGAGATTCACCCTCCAGCCAGGAATACCAATACTGGAATGTTAATAAGTGAGACATAAACTTCTATTGAGTTAAGTTCTTTTCCCCGTTTCATCAATTAGTGTTACCTTAAATCATATAAATTTCCCCAAGTTTTTGTTGCTACAGAAGGAGGGTAAATCTTATCATAAGCAGGATGATGGCAGTGTGTTTTTCTTCACCCTTCTTTAACCATAAAAATGACTTAACCAGATTCATGGTGTGAGTGACAGAGAGGGAAGAATTAGAGAGATGAGGAGAGGCATGTGGTGAAACTTGTCACTTAGGTGGAGAAGTAAATTGGGGAATGGGAGGCACCGTGAGCCTATTTCTCTTGGATAAGAGGGTGTCCATCCAGTAATGGGGATCTGGGGACAGGGAGGCAGCTTGGCCCTGGAAGCTATCAGAAAAGTGATTTAAGTGAAATAATGTCAGGATTTCTGAAGTAGAATTCTAAGGTCCAGTTCTACTGTGACCAAACCTACCAGTTCCCTCATATGAACAGAGAATCTATTCACCAAAATTCCAAAATGCTAAGGAAAGGAAAGCCCAAGAGGTCAAGATATAGTGCATATTTATTTGTTTGCTTGCTTTTGACAGCAGAATCATAAGGGATTTGCGTTTGCTACTGCAAGAGGCCAGAACTATGTCAGGAAACCAGAGAAATAAATTGTAACTCTGGCTTGCTCCGGTTTCTCGGCTTCCACTTCTGCTTCCAGCCACACCTTCTCGCCTACGTGCAGCGGCAGGGTCAACATGCCAGAGAGATTTCTGGGCTCTTTGGTGGAGACCTGATGCTTTTCTAAGACAGAACTTTTGTCCCTCATCAGCTGAACAGTCACCTTGCAGTGATGGAGATCCACATCGAAGAGGAAATGGTAATTTCCTGGCGGCCTGCATGTGAAGACCCCAGTGTCCTCCTGTAGGTCTCTCTGGGCACTGCACAGGACCTCTGTGAAGGGGACAGGCTTGGAAGGTGAAGGCAGCTGGCCGCTGAGCTTCACAGTGAAGGCGGACTTTCTGCTGCACGGGCATTTTACACTTGTCCTAGGATTCCCGCCATAGCTGGTGAACCTGGTCTCCCTTGAAGAAAAGGACAAGACACAGTAAGAAGGTCATAGAGTCCAATAAAAGGATGTTACCGCAGTCAGTGTGTGAAACCACCACTTTTTTTTTTTAATAACGTCATGATCTTTGTTGTATGATTAAATGGTTACAAGTCACATCTCTGAAACGGACCAGCTGTGTAATCTTGCTAAAGTTAATCAGACTTTCTGGGTTATATTTCCTCATCTGAAAATATTATTGACGTCTCATGTGATAATTGTGAAGTTGTAATGAGACAATGCATGCAAGGTTCTTATAGTACCTGTGCGTGGTGCATACGTGTTAGTTCCTATATATTATTTCATCCTGATTTGGGTGGGACTAATTCTGGCTAACAGCTTCGCTTGTGGCTCAGTCAGTAAAGAATCTACCTATAATGCAGGAGACCCAGGTTTGATCATTAGCAAGAATTTTCCTTCCCCAGAGGATCTTCCCAGCAGAAATTTTCCTTCTCCAGGGGATCTTCCCAACCTTGGGAAGGAAAATTCTTGCTAATGATTCTAATCTCACTGAAGATGATAAAAAGGATGGGTGTCTAAGTCTGGGGACCAGAAAGCCTTTGGATTACCAAATCTAACCCTTAAGACCCATGATAATGGCCTCATAAGAGATGACACATAACTGTGATCTTTCCTGAAAGCCCCCCTTGGTCTGGTCTCATTGTCTACAAAGAAGTCCTGGTAACCAGGATAGAATCTGGGAAGAATCTTGCTTCATACTCAGGGGCTCCCTGGGCATCATCCTTTTCATAAGAACTAGGTTTGGGGCTCTCAGTGCTCAATGAAATCCAGTGTTCTGATGATACATGATGCCCTGCTACACTTATTAAACCCCCCTTTTTGGGGGGCTTATCAGATAGTCTGATTCATGATACTGACTCTACTTAGCACATGTTCCCACCATGACTAACCCACATGGATCCCAGTACCCTGGTTCTAGAACTAGGCGAGTCTCTCTTGTCCCCTGTGATTTGAGCTCTGGTTCCCCTGCCCTGGGACCCAGTCCTACAGCTGACCATTTCCTCCACATTCTTTTAATCCTCAATGCCTTTTGCTCCTGAGCTTATGAGGATTATGACTTTCCTACCAAAAACATGAAATAAGAGAGGCAAATAAAAAGCAGAAGAATGCATTTCTTACCTCTGGGACCAGGTGGCCCTCTTGCACCTGGAGGTCCTGGGCATCCTCCTGGCCCTGGAGGTGTGGCACACCCTCCTTTCTCCAGGACAGCATTTGCCGTTAGGATGATGCTAACCAACATCAGGAGATACTGATTAAAGAAACAAAGAGAAGTGGGGTTTTTTTCTGTTTTTTATTTTGTTTTATTTATATATGAAGGGTGGATAGGTAGAGTTGCAAGCAGGCCCAGGAAAGGTATCATATCTAGAACTAAACACATGGACTCAAATAACAATCTTACCGTTACCGGTAAACTGAGCAAGTTATTCCCTGATATTTCCTTATCATTCATATACAGCAATAATTACTCAGTTAAAACCGTTTCTGAATCCTGAAAGGTCACCATTTTTTCTTCATCTGTCTTTGAACTGATAGAACACAGACAGCACTCGGTCAAAATTCTTAAATACAAAATGCTTTATTCTTATGAGAACCTACTACAGCTATCTCTCTCTTTCTCTTTAGTCGCTAAGTCATTTTCAACTCTTGCGACCCCATGGACTGTAGCCTGCCAGGCTCCTCTGTCCATGGGATTCTCCAGGCAAGAACACTGAAGTGGGTTGCCATTTCCTTCTCCAGGGGATCTTCCCGAATCGAACCCGGGTCTCCTGCTTTGCAGGCAGATTCTTTACCAACTGAGCTAAGAGGGAAGCCCCAACCTACTACATATTGAATGCTTGTTATGGAAAAGACATTGGGTTAGAAACATCATATCAGTAAGAAGTCATTACATGCCTGGTATTTTTGCCATAAGCATCTTTGCCCCAAGCATTTTCACCACAATCATTTTTTCTACATAATTAATTTTCCATGAGGCAATTTTGGCATAAAAGAAAAAATAACTGGTTGACAGTTCAGTTTCAACTGGCTGACAGTTGTTTGGTTTTATTTCTCCATGGATGCAGTACTCCCGTTTTTATGTTACACAAATCTTAGCCCTCATAATGGTCCTGATAGTGACGAGTAGGCGTGGTGATCTCAAGACAGTGGATGATAACAGTTACATATAAAGACTTGATAGAAAATATGTGGACAAAACTTACTACAAGTGTGAAATAAGATAGTACAAAGTCAGATTGCATACCATCCCAGAAAAAACAACATATCAGTTTGCAAATCCTTGGGTGATTTGAAGGCAAAGAGTTGAGCCAGTATTTCCCATGGAACCTTGGAATATCTGTCACTGGACATGTGCCACAATGTTAAGAGAGCAACAATCCTGTAGAGGATTTCACAATGCAATACAGAGCTCATTACAAACATGCATCCTAGTATTTGAAAACTGAAGGAGGAAGTTTTAGCAAAAAAGTGCAATGCTGAAAGAAAAGACAACTCCACAAGGAAGAGAAAAAAAAGACAAGTGCTTAAGTACAACCTACAAAGTAAAATCAGCTATTTGCATGATATTGTCATGAATCTGCACATTTTTAATGTACTCAAATAATTGTATTTCACAATTAAGTTTTCTAAATTTCATTATTCGTTTCTTAACTGTTTTGTTATATCCTTTTAAATGTCCCTCTTTTATCATTCATTATTTTTATTTTTTTAGAGCAAAATTGCCTTATGGCCAGTTAGTTATGAGGCAAAAATATCTGCAGTGAAAATGCTTGCAACCACTATGTCTGTGGCAAAGAATCTGGTGGTCTAGAACTGTACCTAGAATTGTTCATTACACCCCTACAAGGAAAAGTTTATATTTCATTTTACAGATTAGTGTTTGAGATTCAAAGAGGTGATTCTACTTATTTCCAACCAGATTGCTAGTTAGTTACAACATGAGGGTGCATGCTTGTGTTTCCAGGGGAATCCGACTCTTTGCAGCCCCATGGACTGTAGCTCGCCAGGCTCCTCTGTCCATGGCATTTTCCAGGCAAGAATACTGAAGCCAGTTGCCATTTCCTCCTCCAGGGTATCTTCCTGATCTAGGGTTCGAACCCACGTCTCCTGCATTAGCAGGTGGACTCTTTACCACTGAGCCACCTGGGAAACCCCAGTTAGAGTCTGAGGCAAGATTCTTTTCAAGGCATTCTGAATTAAGAATCAGCGTTCTCAACTATGTGCTTTTAATTAGTTAATTAATTGTTAGCTGGGGGCCCTGCCCTCTCATTTCTCCAAACCCTCTGCTCTTGGCTTTCACCTTTCTCATCCAGCTGGGTCTTATAGCACAGCAACCCACAAGAAGCACCTTGATTTGGAATGTATTCACTCTACATTTATGTCGTGTTTCTGTCTTCCGGCGAAATAATTTCAGAAAACCCATTTTTGGCACTAGAATATTCACCTCTATTAACAAAATGATACACTCCATCCACCCTCTTACAAATACTTGACCCCCCTCCCACCTTATCTCCTACCAGCCATTCTCAGGACAGAGCCTTTCCTTTGTGGGATGGGCGTCTCTCAGATTTCTTTCTGAAATGCCTAGCTGTGTGTCTGAGGCTTGGGCTCTAGTCACTGTTCACTTGGTCAAGGCCTTAGCTAAAAGATACAAAGTGGCCTGTTCAAATATTTATCCCTGGTCCAAACTGAGACAACAAAATTAATATTTAATCACTAGGTGGATTTAGGCCACCCACTCTTTCTGAATTTGGATCTTGGGCCCAGTAGGATTGTCAACTAGAAGTTCTAACTCATTTTCAGATTTCCCTTCCAGCAGGTCTATTATGGAAGCAGCTGTCAATACATATAAGGAGGGGATAAGGAGGCCATTTCTCCTGTTCTGACTTCTTTCTGAGGACTTATTCTTTATGTTTAACCACAGATCTGGAGTCATCACAGACCATTTTCTGAACAGAAGGCCAAATGCAGAGCAGGAAGTCTAGAATTGAGGGTAATTTCCAGTAAGAATAATATACTAGGGGAACAAACATTGCGATACATAATTAAGTGGTCAAACAAATGTAAAGTATGCAGTGCTAATTAATATTAGATACTGTTTTAACACAGGCTTCCCAGGTGGTGCTAGTGGTAAATAACTCATCTGCCAATGCAGGAGATGTAAGACTCAGGTTTGATCCCTGTGTCGGGAAGATCCCTGGAGAAGGGCGTGGCAACCCACTTCAGTGTTCTTGCCTGGAGAATCCCATGGACAGAGGAGCCTGGGTGGGCTACAGCCTATATGAGTGAAAAGAGTTGGACACTGATGACGTGACTTAGCATGCACATGTTATTTTAACATGCATGGCACTTGCCTCTTTTGATCCCAATGACAATCTTATAAGGAAAATATCTGTAATTTATTATATTTTATACAAATCAAACTATTTATAGAATACTCCATATTCTTATTACCTTTTTTTAATTCTTTCTCCCTGTAATTCTTATACCCCTGAACTTTAATGAACTCTAAAATTTGGGTCAAAGGTCTCCTTTAGTATCTATATCAAATATATAAATGTATGGGAAGAAGATATTTTTATAAAGAGAATAAATTAGAAGTTAGTTCTGAGTTAGGGTAGGGAACAGCTCAACACTGAACACAGTGAAGTAGGTGAACTATAATTCAAAAGTGAATAACTGCTTGTTATTTTCCTGTAAACCACTACTTGCCTAGGATGCAAGGCGAACTGGCATACCAATGGTTGTCAAAGGGAATAACCTCGTCTGACCTAGCAGTGGACTGTAAATGCCCAGTAAGCAACCCAGAACATGTAGGTGAGTGAATCCTCTGACTTCACTTTTAGAATATTTTTTGCTAGCAGAGGGTTGAACAGTTGTCATTACTTTGCTTTTGTGTAATAAATGATTGATTTTTTTTTTTAAATCAATGAGGGATGGGATGAGGAGGAAGGTGGGATGGGGGTTTCAGGATGGGGAACACACGTACACCCATGGAGGAGTCAAGTCAATGTATGGCAAAACCAGTACAATGTTGTAAAGTAAAATAATAAATTAATTAATTAAAAAATTTTTTTAAATTCAAAAAGAAAATCAATGTTCTACTGAGGATATATCTAATTGATAATAACAGAGACTTCCTTCATCAAGGAAAGCTTAGAACTTGACCGTACATAGAATAAGATGGGGAAACACTTTTCTTCCCATGTGTGCCCTAAATTCTGTTTAGAGAAAGTACTTCTTGTCGGGGGGAGTCCTTGCTAGGAATATGTGTTTTGATGTGGTTGCAGCTGGAGCCAAAACCACAGGGAAGAGAATTAAATGATCATGCATGTACCAGACATAATTTTCAGACCATAAATATGATGTCAACAGTAGCTGTTTTGGAAGATGTTCTTTATCAAGTTGAGGAAGTTCCCCTTTATTCCTAGTTTGCTGAGAGGGTTTTTTTTTTATGAATATGTATTGAATTTTGTCAAATTATTTTTCTGTATCAATTGATATAATCATATGATTTATGATCTGCTCAATTTTAAGACTTAGTATATAATGTTAGTGATCAAGACACTGTGGTATTGGCAGAGGGATATAAACATATATCAGTGGAACATAAAAGAAAGTTTGCATAAATTGCACACAATCAGCCTCCTTTTTACAAAGATGCAAAGCTAATTCAGCAGAGAAAAGATAGTTTTCAACAAGAGGGGATATATGTATATGTGTAGCTGATGCACTTTGCTGTGTAGTAAAAACTAACACAACACTATAAAGCAAAAGTATTCCAAGAAAAAATTTTTAAATGATGTTGAAACAGTTGGTGGTTGAAAAAATTAATATTAACCTGAACCTCATTTGTTGTTTGTTTGTTCAGTCACTAAGTCGTGTCTGACTTTGCGACCCGATGGACTGCATGCAGCACCACAGGCTTCCCTGTTCTTCACCATCTCTTGGAGCTTGCTCAAACTCATGTCCATTGGGTCAGTGATGCCATCCAACCATCTCATCCTCTGTTGTCCCCTTCTCCTCCTGCCCTCAATCTTTCCCAGCATCAGGGTCTTTTTCAGTGAGTAGGCTTTTCACATCAGGTGGCCAAAGTATTGGAGCTTCAGCATCAGTCCTTCCAATGAAAACCTCATGCCTCATACAAACATTGACTCTAAATGGATGATAGATCTCAGTGTAAAATGTAAAACTGTAGTACTTTTAGAAGAAAACATTGGAGAAAAATCTTCCTAATCTTGGGTTAGGTAGAATTCTTGAACGTGACATCAAAAACTTAAATCACAAAAGACAAAATTTGATAAAAGGACTTTCTGGAAAAGAAAAATTTTGCTCTTAAACACTGCTAAGAGATGGAAAAGACAAGCCACAAACTGGAGAAAGTATTTGCAATCTCTGACAAAGCGCTTATAAAGGGAGTACACAAGAAATGCTCTAAACCTAAGCGTAAGAAAATAAACAATTCTTTGAGAAAATGGAAGGCTTGAACATTTCACCAAAGAGGATATACAAATGGAAAATTTTAAAAAGTATATTGAAGAATGTTCCAACACCATTAGTCATCAGGGAAACACAAATTAAAGTCAACATGGGACGTGACTACATACTTACTAGGAAAATAAAAACTTTAAAAATACTAATAGCACAGAGATATAGAGCAGACATTATCCTCCAATTAAAGTAAATTAATTAATTTTAAAGACAGATGCAGAGTAACTGGAACCTCCCCCCCCCCCCCAACATTGTTAGAAGGAATGTAAAACGTACAGCTGCTGGGAAAACAGTTTGGGAGCTTTATTAAACATACTAACTGTATGATTCAGCAATTGCAATGTTGGGTGTCCATCCTAAGAGAAATTAAAACATATTATGGCTGGGAGGATCATTCCCCCAAGATTTCATGCCCAGCCTTACCGTGAGTGTGATTTCACTTCTGTGGTTGTGTTCTGTCATACGTGCAACTTGTTACCTGAAAACTAGGTTTGTCTTTGGGTGAATGTGGAGCTGATAGACACAGCCAAGCAAAGAGTGAGAGAAGAAAGGGTTTATCATTACTTGCAGCAAATACATAGAACACCAGGGATCTTTCCCAAATCAGTGTCTCTCCAGCAGCAAAAATGAGTAAGTTTTAATCTACGGTACATGCATATTCATGAAGGCGCTTGAGCAGAGGAGAATTCAGCATATGATTAGGGCATAGTTGACAGAGTCCCAGCTGTAGTTAATTGAAGTCAGAAGGGTCAGCATCATCATTCCATCCTGCATGCTCTGCCTTAGTTCCTGCAGAACTCAGATATATTCTTATGTATACTCCTTGAGGAGGAATTATCAATGCAATGTGTGTGTGTGTGCTAAGTTGCTTCAGTCTTCTCTGACTCTTTGTGACCCCATGGACTATAGTCTAGCAGGGTCCTCTGTCCATGGGATCCTCCAGGCAAGAATACTGGAGTGGGTTGTCATGCCCTCCTCCAGGGAATCTTCCCAAATCAGGGATCATCTGCACTCTTACATCTCCTGCAGCAGGTTCTTCACCACTAGCACTACCTGGGAAGCCCTATCAGTGCAATAGGGCTGTTCATTTGCCTTTTCTCTGTTCCTGAATTCCTTTGTTCCCTTAAGATCACTGATGACTGAGACCGGTTCAAAGGCAAGCACTGCAGCAAGGCTTAGATCACAAAATGGCTTCTCTTAAGTCAAGAAATCTTGCCTGGTTCTCTTTCTCCAGAGACTCCTTACCTATCAGCTTACAGACTGATCTTAAAATGAGATAATCCTCACTTGTCTGGGGCAGCCCTAATGTAATCACCTGAGCCCTTATAAGCAGAAAAGGAAGGCAAAAGAGAAAGGCAGACAAATGTGAACGGCTGAGGGTGAAGGGCAGCCTTCAGGAGCCAAGGGTGGTCCTGAACTGGAAGCCAGAAGGGAAACAGGGACCTCAGACCTACATCCTCATGAAACAGATTCTCCAACAGCCTTAATAAGCTTAGAAACAGAGTTTTCCTTCTGATGCCTTCAGAAAGGAAGGCATCCCTATGGGCACATTGATCTTGGCCTCCTGGGACTCTCAGCAGAGAACTCCTCTTACCTATATTATGCCCATGATGCCAAAGCTTGGCCTCTGTGCACCCGTGCTGAATTGAATCTCAAAAACAGAGTTTGAGATAAAGGAGAAAAGGGTAGCTTGGGACTTCCCCAGTGGTCCAGTGGCTATGACTCTGCACTCCCAATGCAGGGGGCCCGAGTTCTATCCCTGGTCAGCGAAGTAGACCCTGCATGCTGCAGTGAAGATGGAAGATCCCACGTGCTGCAACTGAGACTGTGTGTGTGTGTGCGCCTAGTCACTCAGTCGTGTCCGACTCTTTGTGACCTCACGGACTGTAGCCCACCAGACTCCCCTGTCCATGCGGATTCTCCAGGCAAGAATACTAGAGGGAGTTGCCACGCCCTCCTCCAGGGGGATCTTCCCAACCCCAGAATCGAACCCAGGTCTCCTGCATTGCAGGCAGATTCTTTACCATCTGAGCCACCAAGTATACTGGAGTGGGTAGCCCATTCCTTCTCCAGGGGATCTTCCTGACCCAAGAATTCAATACTTCGGTGAGACGTTGCTGACAAGGTTCAGGTGTGTG